AGAGGGAGACCTAGGTGGACAGGTGGCCGCTGGCCACTCCCTCGTCGAGGGGCCCTCCAGCGGCGGGCGGACCCCAACCCCGCGCTGCTCCGCGAGGCGGGAGCCAGCAGAGCTCCCCGAAGGGGCGGCGGGGCGCTGACCTAGGGTCTCGGCGAGCCCTGCCCGCGCCCGCATCTCCTCCCCGGCCCCGACAGCCGGGCGGGGGCCTGGCGACAGGCAGGCAGGTTGGACCGGGGGCGAGGGATCTGGGCGGGTCGAGGCCACCACCAGGGGCCCAGACATTCCCGCACCTCCTCCCCGGGCCCCCGCCTCCGCCCTCCCACGCACCTGCGCTGGCCTCCCCCCAAACCCCGCGGGCAGCGGGCGGGCGGCGCAGGAGATCAGAGGACTCGGAGGAGTCGGGCCCGGGGGAGGGGGTGGGGAATTTCCCCCCACGCCTGCCCGGGCCTGCTCCCCTCCCCCTCCCTCACCAGGTGGGGGGCACCGCCGGGGAAATTCCACCGCACGGCGGAGGCTCCGGAGAGCCTGGGCCGGGGGTCCCGGGAGAGGGGGCGGGGGCCGGGGATGCAGCTGCCTTCGTCCCCAGACACCAGCTGCCCCTGCCTGTCCCGGATCGCGCGCCCACCACTCCCGCCCGTGCCGGGACGCCGAGCGGCGCTTTCTTCCTCAGGCCGCTGGCGCCGGGAGCCGGGGCGGGGGTCGCGAGGGTCCGAGGAAGGCGCGCGTGTGCACCTGGTGCGCGTGCTCGCGACGCAGCGATGCAGGGCTGACCCGGGACGTCGTCCCCGCGTCGGCCTGTGCCGTTCCCTCCCACGCCCGCCCCCTGGAACCCGCACCGACCGACCCGGGGAAAGGAGGAGGCGGGGAGGCGCGCGCTGGGACGCCGGGGGTCCCGGGGGGCGGGCGGGCGAGGGAGGCGTCTGGACCTGCTGCCTTTGCTCGGGTCCCAGGCGGGGCTTCCCGCCCTCGCTCGGGGGTAGGGAGGGATCCTGGGGGAGGGGCCGGGACCAGAGCGTTGGAGACCCGGGCGAGGGAGCCGAGGGGAGCAGGACGCCGCGGGAGGGGACGCGCGTGGGAGCCGAGGCACGGCCCGGAGCAGAGGGGTAGAGGCAGAGAGACCCCCCTCTGTGGGAACCGGGGCGCAGAGACCTCCAGGCGGCAGAGACCCTGGGACCCCCCCCGCCAGCTGTTTCCCCGCCCCAGACGAGGAGGCCATTCGGAGTGCGCTGAGGACCGGTCGGAGGACAACGCCCCCCAGGTCGCCCGGGAGACCCCAGAGCGACCCCGGGCGGCATCTGAGACAGAACGACCTCTCCTTGACTGGGGGCGATGGGGACGCGGGCCCTACAGGGCCTCTTCCTCCTCCTCTTCCTCTCGCTGCCGCCGCCGCGTTGGGCCTCAGCGGGAAGCCTGCACAGTCCAGGTGAGTCTGGGCAGTGTGGCCACTCCCGGGTTCTCCCCCCCGGGGGGGGGCTGGGGCGGGCGCAGCGCAGGTGGCTGGAGCTGCCGAGCAGCCCGGGGGCCCCCGTCGGGACAGGCGCGGGGGGCGCGGGCCGGGAACCCCGAGAGCTGCCGTCGGGGGCGAGGATGCCCGGCGAGCGTCCAGCCCTCCGCAGGCCCCGCCCTTGCCGCGCAGGCCTGTCGGAATGCTTCCAGGTGAACGGCGCCGACTACCGCGGCCGCCAGAACCGCACCGGCCCGCACGGGGCCGGCCGCCCGTGTCTCTCCTGGGACCAGACGCAGCAGCACAGCTACAGCAGCGCCAGCGACCCCCAGGGCCGCTGGGGGCTGGGCGCGCACAACTTCTGCCGGTGAGGGGCCTGTCTCGTCCGCGGCTGGGGCAGGGGCAGGGGGCGCAGCACCCTTTTGGCAGGGTGGGCCTCGAGTGCCCACTGGCACAGAGCCTTGGTTGAAGCCTGCGGGGCCGGGTCAGGCCCGGGCAGGGGGCCCGGAAGGCGGGGGGCGTCTGCTGTCGGTGTTGGGGGCATTGGGTCCAGACCCGAGCGCTCAGGGCTCAGCGATTGGAGCAGCGGCTGAGGCCACCTTGGACGGCCCAAGTCCTCATGCACGAGGTCCAGTCCCGCCGACAGCTGAAGGCCCGAAGGCAGCCCTCGAGGCCTTTTCAACGACGCCCCGCGGACCCCGAGCAGAAAACCGGGCTTCGCCAGCCAGCACTGAGCCGAACGCCTCTCGCTCCGCTGGACCTGGGCGGGGACAGACCTGGGCCGCGGGGGCCTGACCACCTGCCTCCCGTGGGCAGGAACCCAGACGGGGACGTGCAGCCCTGGTGCTACGTGGCCGAGACGGAGGAGGGCATCTACTGGCGCTACTGCGACATCCCCACGTGTCACAGTGAGTGGACAGAGTGGCCGTGCGGGGGCTGAGGGCCGCCTTTCCCGGTAGGGGCCTGACTCTGCCTCCCGCCCCCAGTGCCCGGATACCTGGGCTGCTTCGTGGACTCGGGGGCCCCTCCTGCCCTGAGCGGCCCCAGCGGCACCTCCACCAAGCTCACGGTCCAAGTGTGCCTCCGCTTCTGCCGCATGAGGGGCTACCAGGTACCCTTGGGGACCACCTGACCCTGACCTCAGGAGCCCCCCCATTGCACCCCTACCCCAGCCCCTGCCCCGGGGGTCACCCAGCCTGTGCTCTCAGCTGGCGGGCGTGGAGGCCGGCTACGCCTGCTTCTGCGGCTCTGAGAGCGACCTGGCCCGGGGACGCCCTGTGCCCGCCACCGACTGCGACCAGATTTGCTTCGGCCACCCAGGCCAGCTGTGCGGCGGCGACGGGAGGCTGGGCATCTACGATGGTGAGAGGGCGGGGCTCTTGGAGGGGCACGCGGGGCGGGATTTAGTGGCCGAAGTGGGGCCTGGAGGCGGGGCCTACGGGAGGGTTGGGCGGGGCCTGAGGGGGCCTTAGCTGAACCAGGGGGCGGGGCCTTGCTGGACCCTGGCGGCCTGGGAGGCGGGGCCCAGCCGGGGAAAGGGCGCGGCTCGGACACTGCCCGGCGACGGAAGAGCCAGGTGTGTCCCGGCCTAACCGTCCGATCCGTCCGCAGTGTCCGTGGGCTCCTGCCAGGGGAACTGGACGGCGCCGCAGGGCGTCATCTACTCGCCGGACTTCC